GAAAAGCCAGTGCGTTTCGGTAACACTACGTTCCAACAATGGCTTTTATGTCATGTTGCTTAGCAACAAAACTATAAAATAATATTGTTGTTAGTCTGTGTACTGAAAGTATAAAATGAAATGTATAGGGAACAAAACTGGAAAATATTTGGTCATTTCTTAATTTCCGTTGATTAAAGAAGTTTTTTTTTTGTTAAAAACGCTGATGATGTATCAGAAAATTGCTTGGTTCAGAAACGATTTAAGTTTAAAATTGAATCAATATTTTTACTTCCATGATAAATTTTATGCATTTGGCTCTAGGCTAGGTGATCTCACACTACGTCTTTACTTTAGGCTTATCATACCAACACTCACAACACTTATAAGGTTTTACGGCACACACACTCCTCACGACCCTCTTGCACCTCCTCACCAAAATCGTATAGGGTATACAGTAATCAAACTATTCTATCTGGATAAATGCATTTTGGCTTTTATGACTCCTCTTATTTCAAGAAATCAAGCGTGACGTGACACACACTGGCTTTTATATAGGATAGATTCACCAGTTCAAATGAAGATTTGTACTGTCAGTTTCGGTTTGTGTTTTAGTGAAACGCTCCTGAAGAAGCTGTAAAGTGAAACGTTGAGTGTCTAATTAAATAAAAACATTTTGGTGTTATAAGGTCGTTTATATCTAGTATTAATATTCTTTATTATTGAGCAGCATCAGATGATTAAAAATTCAATGCCATCTAGGGGAGTTAATCGAGACTAAATTTCTTTTCTTTTTCTTTGTTTGAAGTTAAGCACAAAGCTACACAATTGGCTATCTGTGCTCTGCCCACCACGGGTATCGAAACCCGGTTTCTAGCGTTGTAAGTCCGCAGACATACCGCTGTGCCACTGGGGGGGGGCGACTAAATTTCAACATCTTTTTAGGGCGTTTTCTTAGCTCTTGTATTGCAAACAACACATTAGTTAAATACATTTATCATTTTGTTACTTAACTACAGAATTAAAGTGGGTAACCTTTTAAAAGTTGAGTCCACGTCTACTTGTTTTACTTGTATAATGATTTGAAATTTCGAAGAAAAATTATATTTCTAAAACAAATTGTTTTTTAAAATATTTCAGTACACATACAAAATTCTAAAAACATTATCCATTTTGAAACAATGTAAAGTATCTTTCTGCAAAAAATTGGACACTTTGATGCTGTAATTTTGATGTAGTAATGAGATTTCAATTTTCAAAAATTTGTTTTAAAACTCATCTAACAAAAACGGATTAGTTAACGTTACATTTTATACTTTTTAGTTAATAACTCTCTGATGCATTTATTTCATAAAAACATCTTGTAGAATACCTTTTTTTTTTACAAATAACTAAAAACACATGTGGAGCATATTTATAGACCAATTTATAATGGTTGAAGAAAACCTTCTAATAGGGTAATTGGCTTATGAATTAAGTTGTTGTCACTATTAGTAAAGACCAACATCTTGCAATATGGTAAAAGGAGATTTGATGATTTTTCTGAAAAATAAAGAATGGCCATAATTTATATTTTTCTAAGGGGTGGGTGGGCAAGAAAGCTTAGAATGACCAAATGGTCCTTAGTTGTCCTTATATTTTACTTGATAATAACAATATATCATTACCTTAAAGCAAAGCATAGCGCCTCATAGAATGGCTCTGGGTTTTTTAAGTTCAAACTTTTAGCTCGTAGCTCCGTCATCTCTTGACCGATTTGAGATCTAATCAGAGTTTTGGATTCACGTGTTGCTTGGAATTGCTGGCGCACAAAAATCATAATCATAAAAGCCAAGTGTCGTTCGGTCACGCTCGATTTCTCCGAATTTCTCAAGTTACACGAGTCTAATTCCACTGTTTTCTGCTATATAAAAGCCTCTCAAGGAGAGAGTTCCCAGGACCAGATCAGGAATGGCGTTATGTGTGCGACACCACATCATTATGACATCAAGCTAGGTAGGAACCGAATAAAAAAAGCCAGGAAGACTCCCATGATCGAAGACACGGAAGTGTATTCACACCCTATCGACGCGTGAAAAATAAGCCAAAAACTAGCGTAAATCTATACTTAGGAATTATTACGAAAAAAAGCCTTTGTTAAAACAGACTGAAGATAACAATTATCTGTAGGGAAAAGGACGACTTTGCCTCAATAGAAGAACAGGTGTATATGCAACCATATGGTCATCGTATGTTTTATCCAAAGGCACACAAAACTAGCATGTTTCTCGAAAAGGAAATTTTATATTTCTTTTGCGTATTGACAGTTTTATACGGAATAGTTTTCGTTTTCAGTGGTTTCTCGTTATTTTCGACGGCTTTTTAC